CGACTGTCAAAGTATTTTACAGCGATACTTTAAAATTTTTCTTGTCTTTATATGGCCACAAGGTAATTTATTATTATTACTACATATTAGTTTTAATTTAAATTTTTTATCATCTCATTGTAATCATTATTTTTTTATTGTAGTTGCCCGTGTTAACAATGGATATATCTTCAGATAATAAATTATTAGCCACCGGTTCGGCTGATAAAAATATTAAAATATGGGGTCTCGATTTTGGAGATTGTCACAAGTCAATATTCGCTCATCAAGATAGTATTACGTGTGTTCAATTTGTTCAGGGTACACATTATATTTTCTCAGCAGGAAAAGATAAATTGATGAAATATTGGGACGGTGACAAGGTCAGTTATAAGACTTGTTGTCATAGTAAATGCAAAAATTTTTGGTAATTTTATTAGATCTGGACCAAGAATTTTGAAATCAGAAGTAATCTTTAGCCTGAGATTTTCTTGAACCATGTTTTAGCAGAATGTGAGAATAATTTTAAATAAGTAAAAATTGTTAGTGACTAATTCAGGGACTGGTGTTTCTCTTCTTTTATTTGTATTTTATAAAAAGCTGATTTGCTAAAAAACAGAAAATTTTTAATTATCTAGCTTCATAATATAGTTTACAAACTAATTTTTTTTACACAATATAGTTAATTATTTTCAAAGATGAACAAGAATTTTTTGATTTTTAGAATTGTAGCCAACATTTTATATTATATACATATCTGTTTTTAAAAATAATTATCTATATACTAATATATATAAATAATATTATATTTTCTAATTTTTTTACAATAACAAAAAAAAACAATAATTAATATTAAAGATTTTAATATAAAGAAGCTAGCTAAAAAATAAAAAAAAACTATATTTAATTTATACAAATTTTAGATCTAAATTATATATTTTTTTTATATAAAAGAAGGTTGGGTATTATAATATATTTATATTCTTTGTTAATATTGAATATTATATGATAATTCAGGCTAGAAATTGCAGATCACATATTAATTATGAAAATTCAAAACAAATATCTTTTTGTCAAAAATCATTAATTTCTCAAAAATCTTTATAAAAAACAATATTTTGTATATTAACAAAAGTTTTCTTTAAGTGATTTTATAGTATAATCTTCTAAATTTTAATGTTAATATAGATGATAACTCTAACATAAACAAATTTTGTTATTGGTTAAGATGAAATTTTTGATATCAATAATTTTTGCAAAAATTTTTATAACGCTAATAAATAAAAATTACAATTCCGAACATAATGATGGATATCTATTAGTGCTTGATTGGTTGTCGATCCTTGAATTTTTATTGGCTAATTAGATAAACGTCCTATATGAAAATACAATTATAAGAAAACTCACCAACGAATCTGATTATACCAGATTAATTTTGCCAGAAGCAAGTAACATCCGAGAACAAAAT